ACTTAATTATTCGATTACCTATTTTTGTCTTAAGATCTTTTTTGCCTTTTGAATATGATATCATTTCTTTTCTTATTAATTTTAGATAGAACGCGTCGTACTTGAAGATTGTTTCTTGCACGGCAAAATCAGTTTGTTGAGTTAATAATCATCTCTTCAAGTTTTCTATATAAAATAAATCTATCTTTTAACATTGTTTTTTAAAAGGATTGATTTTATATTACAATAATTCAAACAGTAATCATTTCGTCATTCCACTGATGATTGTTAATGCAACTTGTCAGTTTTTCTACTTTTACACACACATGCGCGCATGCACGCGCGCACACTCACAAACGCACAAACAGCTTATCTTACTAGATATAAGAAAGCTAAAAAAGATAACGTACCCATAAATATCCATACATTTGTATGTCTGCCGAAATGTTTCGATACTACATTATGGAAGCTTTCCACTATATTATTAGTTCGCACGGGGCAGTTGTAGACTGAAACTTTTCTAGGTATGTTCAGCCATGTATTACGCATATACGACATAATTGCAGCACAGCAGGATGATCATCGCATATATTATCAGCAATACGTTGTAGTATTGCAAACGCTTCTTCAAATCTAATATGTGGTATTAATGGAATTGACATTGCCATTGATATTAACATTTTTGGGGCGTTAGTTAAGCCTAATTGTCGCCATTTGCGCAATATTGACTGAAAAGAATTTTATTTTATTAGAAATTTTTATTAATCTTATATACATATATATTTTGTATTATTTAGATTAGAACATTATTATTACATTTCTTTATTATTTCATAAGTGAAATGAACAGCAACATGAAATCTGTACCTATTTTATTAAATTACTCAATATTTTAATATTTAAAATGTAAAATATAAGAAAATAGATTTAAGTTACATCTATTTCTAGTATACCTGATTGAAATGGAACCAACATCCATGTATTGCAGCTACAGGAAAGAATTCGTGTAATGTAGCTATCGCTGCTTTTTCGTAATCTACCATAATAAATCTTATATTGTTCTGTAGCGCCGGAGCAAGCTCAATTACTTTTTCCCAAATTGCCCGGTAAAGAATTTTAGTTCGCGATTCACATAAAACAAATACTGTTGCAATTCCCTGTAACATGTAAATGATGATATATAAATAATTGCGGAGAAAATTTTTAAACAAGAAAAATGTATAAATTATTTGAAAAGTGCATTCTACCGTATTCATATAACGAATGTGAATGGTATATAACTGTACTATGTTCGGTTTCCGAGGAACAACCTGTAATTAAATAAACTGTCAAAGTATAGTGTAAAATTCACTTATTTATAAAAAATGATATAACTTATTATATCATTTATACTTTTCTTAAAAAATTACCGAAAATGTCCCATCAACAAATAATTCTGCACTTTCGTTTAGTGCATTGAGCAATTCATCGCTTGAAAATAAAAGCGCCATGCTACCGTCTTCTGCGATTACATTTCCCTTGTAAATATCTTTGCATGCTTCGTACTTTTCAAGTTCCAAACTGAGAGATGCAAAAGAATTTGGTACGGGTGGCTTATATGCAGTTCGCTTTCTATTCAAAGTACTTTTAATAGTTGGATAACTCAAATGCGTTGCTGCCTCAGGATCTCTAAAACAAAAAATCAATATACTCGTACAAAATAATGCTGAATAACAATTAGTGTAAAGTATCACTTAAAGAAAATGTCAATTATGATATTAACCTTTCGCAAACATCATCGAATATTTTTTTAATAGGCTGTACACTTTCTTGACAAAGACGATACATTTCTCGTTTCAAATTTAATGTACGTATCACCATATCATTAGGAGGATGATCGTGCAAAGAGCAAACGGTTACTTCGTCATTTTCACTGATTAATACTGATCCTCTGCAGCCAGTGTTGCGGCGAGTCGAACATCTATAGATACTCTTTAAACGTTTATCAATATGATAAATATATCCTTCATACACGTAAACAGCACTATTTTTTTATTTGCCTTCAAATTGTTCCATATTTAAGAACTTGATAACGTGCTTATAATACTCGTGATTGACGAAAACAGTTGCAGTAACGACAAATAAAGAACGCGCTGAAATAATAGAAAAAATTAATACCAATGCTATTAGTATTAGTAGCAATTATAAAATGCAATTAACGAAATATTTTCAAATTTTATGACGATATTGCAACCGTCGCAACATTTTACTAACAACGCATTCAATTATCACAAATTATGAATGACATCGCTAACAAAAGGATTCAATGTTTACAATGACAATTCTTGTTCTGTCGTTCGAGATGAAAGTTTTACCTTTCACTTCGTGGTTTGAGGTTC